AATTTTGTTCTTGCATGTGACATAATAGAATGTACTTTAAATTCTTCAACTAATACTTCTTCTTCTCCTATTTGACTATCATTAATTATCATTATAATTGTATTTTTTACCAACTCTTATAATAACATTTGAATATTCATCATCAGTTTCCAAGATAATATTTGAAATTTTATTCGTTGATCACTATATAGTTAATCGCCAAAATTTTAAAAAATACAATAATTAAATAATCACACATATAAATTATTAACGAAGAGTGTGAGTGTGTGAAAGAAGAAAAATTCGGTTTCAATGTGATCGATTAGTAATCATATGTATATGGTATTCCTTCATTTGCTCTTATGTAACCTCTATACATCCCAGTTGTATTGAATGGCATAGCGACTATTAATCATCCATTAATTAATTTATTTATTAAACAAATCAAAGAAAAAGAAAGCAGCAGACTGAAAAATGAAACGTCCTTTACCATTTCCATATTTATCCAAGGCTATAACGCCACCAGCTCCATTAACTTTCCTAAGATTCTCAACTACATTAAATGCTGCCTCTTCGACACTTTCTTTCAAATATTTCATTCGTGACGAAACATCTTGTGCAACTCCATAACGAATAAAATACTTTTTTTTTAGGAAAAGAAGAAAACGTTATTATGTGTATTCTAATTCGTTCTTGTGTACTTCCATTCGTGCGCTTTGTCGTCTCATTTAAAATCCTCAATTTAACCATAATTATTAATGTTTATCATCACACAATTACTTACTTCACCGTTTCCAGTTCCACTTACACCACAAGTTTCATTATCTGCCCATGTGCCACATGCAATCAATGGCGTGTCTCCTATACGACCATCTTTCTTATTATTTCAACCACTCATTACCCATTTTATTTTATTTTATTGATTTATTCAATCAGCTAAAATCAAATCAATGCAAAAAAGAAAAAGAAATGAATCATGGGCCGACATTAGTAATTCATGGAGGAGCAGGAGCCTTATTACGTGAAAATCTTTCAATTGAAGAAAGACAAAAATACCTTATTGCACTGGAAGAATCATTAAAGGCTGGAAATGAATTGTTAAAGAATGGCGGTAAAGCGATTGATGTTGTTGAGGCAGCTGTTCGAGTAATGGAAGATTGTCCACTTTTTAATGCTGGTAAAGGTGCAGTTTTTACTATTGGAGGAAAAGTAAGCATACGAACATTATTATTATTATTATTATTATTTTAATATAAAACAATTTAATAAATTTTCTTATTCTTCTTTTGTTTTTTATTTTTATTTTTTTATTTTTAGAATGAATTAGAATCTTCGATAATGGTAGGAACAATGGATCATCCGGCTGGAGCAAGCACACTGCTTCACACTGTAAAAAACCCAATTACATTAGCAAAAACACTTTTACTTGATGCTGATAACCCACATGTATTTCTTGGTGGTGTTGAAGCAGAGAACTATGCAAAAGTTAATGGATTGGAATTGGTGGATCCTAAATATTTCTGGACCGAGAAACGTTGGAAACAACATTTAGAAGGTTTAGAAAAGAAAAAGAAAGGTGGAAAGGATGATGATTGGTATAGTCTAGCACCAGGGTTTGATTCAAGTCCTATGGGAACTGTTGGAGCCGTTGCTGTTGATAAGTATGGAACAATTGCTACTGCTACTTCTACAGGTAAAAAGAGATCGACGATGATGACAATTGATGATTAATGATGATGACCCATGTAATATTTATTTTTTTTTTATAAAAAGGTGGTTTCAATAATAAAAAAGATGG